GTGCTAGTAGATTTAGGCATGCAGTGCAAGCAAGGAAAAAAAGGATTTGTAGAAAATGCTAATAAACCATTTGTGTAGAGTAGATAATCAAGTGGGAGATTCAGGTGTGCATCAACTGATCACCCAAACCATCTGCTTTCTGTTTTTCCTATTTTCAAGGCTCTGTGTGGTCTGTTTAGGTATTCCTCCCTACACTTTGCCACTGCCTTTATCCTTATGATCCAAACAACTGATGAAGATCATTAAGATGTGGGCTGTTTGCCCAGTCATTTCATCTGCCAGGGTGGTGTGGCAGAGATAAGATCTTTCAGAATGTGAGCCAACTTCGACTTAGTGCCTGGCACATAGTAGGTGTGTGTCTATATCGCTTGGCTGAGCAAAGAATGAAAAAGCATACTCTGAAAAATCTGAGGCTAAAGGACAGACTCCACATGGTGGTCTCCAATCAGCCCAGTGCCTGAACTTGCTGCACTCTACAGGGTGGGCTGAATAAAACTTAATTACGTGCTTTTCACGCCCCACTGCTCTGACCTCGCGCGTTCTGGAGAGGACCAGTGACCTTCCCTTCTCTTCCACTCAAAACAAAACACAACACATCCTACCTTCTATTTTGATCTGGTAGCACCTGTACATGGCGGGGGGTGGGGAATGTTAATACATTCTTTACATGAATATATTTCACCAAAGGACATGATGTCGATATGGTAAAATTGGCCTTTGGTCTTCTGCGGGTGTGTACAGATGACAGCAGGAGGGTTTTGTATTGGAATAGCCTTGGAGTCAGGACTTCCCTAAGAAGATTAACCTAGTGTTTAATTTGATGTTTCAGTCTGTGAAGTCACCTACAGAGAAATCAAACATTTACATGTTTATTAACCAGTGCTTTTGGTTCTTGGCATGTGGCCCAAATCACTTTGGGCCGGATGAGCTCTGGGAGTATGCAGAAATCTCCCTCGGCCCCTCTCCCCGCACCCCCTCATATGGATAAACAAACAGGAAAACATTTACCAGCTTCAATTATCCTTTTGTTTCAAAGCCTGAAACTTTTTTAGCCACTTCATGTTCCTGACAGAGTCTGAAAATTTATAGGCTTTAGAGAGGCCGAGGGTTGAGTGGAGTCACTTTGAGAACAGCGTGCATCTGGATGCCTGATTTTTCAGGTGTTGCTCTGAGACTGAATTAAGAAGTCTTATTCTCAGGGAGTTTGGGCCCTCTTGATTTCTAATTTTTGTGATTGAGTTAGAGTTGCAGGAATATCATGATTTGGCTAATTTTTTAAAAAAATAATTTTCTTCCCTTTGTAAAAGTAATATGCACTAATTGTAGAAACTTGGAAACATCAAAATGTATAATGCTGAAAATTACCCATAATTCTAGTACTCACAGATAATCACTGCAAACCATTTTGTTGTATTTGCATGCATTTGTGTACGCATAATTAAGATCATTGTGTTTAAATTTCAATTTCTACTTTTCCTATTTCACATAAGAGTATTTTCTCTTGCATTGAGAGCTATGCACCGTAGGAGTTTGTGTTAGTTTCTGGGGGCTGCTGTAACAGATTCCCACACATGGGGAGGCTTAAAACAACAGAAACCAATTCTTTTCCCATTCTGGAGGCCGTAAGTTGGAATCAAGGTAGAAGAAGAGCTGTGATGCCTCTGGAGGCTCTGGGGAGGAGCCATTGCTTTTTCCACTCAGTTTCCAGGGGCTGCTGGCATTCCTTGGGATGTGGCCTCATCTCTCCCATGTCTGTCTTTGTTCTCATGAGTGTGCGCACACCTGTGTGTGTGTGTGTGCACGTGTGTGTAATCTCTGCCTCTAGAGGTAGGCCTCTAGGGTCCACCCAGATAATCAAGGATATCTGTTCACCTTAAGGTGCTTATCTTTTTTATTTTTAAGTTTTGTTTAAGTTTTATTTATTTATTTGAGAGAGCATGTGTACATGCAGGGGGAAGGGGAAGAGAGTCTTTTTTTTTTTTTTAAGATTTTATTTATTTATTTGACAGACAGAGATCACAAGTTGGCAGAGAGGCAGGCAGAGAGAGAGGAGGAAGCAGGCTCCCTGCTGAGCAGAGAGCCCGATGTGGGGCTCAATCCCAGGACCCTGAGATCATGACCTGAGCCGAAGGCAGAGGATTTAACCCACTGAGCCACCCAGGCGCCCCAGGGGAAGAGAGTCTTAAGCGGACTCTGCGCTAGGCCCAGAGCCCCATGTGGTGTTGGAACTCGCTTCCCTGAGCTCACGACTAGAACCAAGACCAAGAGTCGGAAGCTTGGCCGACTGTACCACCTAAGCACTCTTAAGATGCTTAAGACATCCTAATCACATCTGTAGAGACCCCTTTTTTTTATAAAGTAACACGGACAGGTCCCAGAGTTGGGTCATAATGTCTTTGGGGCCAGTTTTTAGCCCCATAAGCCATAGGACTTAAGAGTGGACTTTTGGAGCCAGACTGCATGGGCTCAAACCCCCGTGCTGTCTCCTACTAGCAGGATGACTTTGGGCAAGTGTCTTAATTCTTGCTCCCTCCATTTTCTGGTCTGTAACGTGGGAATACTAAGTTTAGTATAGTGCCTGGCCCTTGTAAGGATTAGCTGTTATTAATACAATTATTTTCATGAGAAATTCTTTGTAAAATGTTATTTTAGTGGCTGCATAAAACCATAATTGTGAATGTACCATAATTTATTACATTGCATCACTTCCTTTTGTAGGCTATTAAGTTTATTCCAGTTTTTTATCTCATGTATAATACTGCCGCAGATAGCTTTGAGCATTAAGTTTTGTCCCCACTTCCGATTCATTCTCTAATATAAGGTTCTGAAAATGGAATTATAGTGTCAAAGGGTATGTGTGAGTTAAGCCATTTAATAAGAATTTGTCAAATTGCTTTCCAGAAAGATTGTGCCTGTTATATAACTCCCTACTAGTAGCTGAATGATGAGAGTGCCCATTTTACTGTGGCCATACCTGCATCGAGTGTTATCATTTTAAACATTCTCAGCTACTTTTAACATCATCTGCCTTTTTAAGATTGACATATTACATAGCAGAGCGACTCAATGTAGTGGTTCCTTTAGCAAAGAGTAGTCTCACGAGGCAAGAAAACTTCAAATGAAGTGATATCCTTGCTTTGTGAATAGGTCAAGTGCTTTCTCCATTTTGTTATGAAGCCTGAGTGTTTTCGAGGTTACCAGGGAGGGGTGTTGGGGAGAGGATGTATGAGTGCCTGGACAGTGCTACATGTACAAGCATTTTAGTAAATCAGTTTTATTTCTGTTCTCCAGCTTATCTGTTGAAAACTCTGAACATTGAAAACTGTTTTAAACACTTGAACAGAAAACAGATCAATTTAACTACTTTTCTTTTTTCAATTTAACTACTTTTTAACTAAAACTGCTTGAGGCACAGAAGGATGGGGTAAGGAAGGGACAGCTCCTCTACTGGCTGCCAAAGATGGTGGGAGACCAGCTTGGGAAGGGCAGAGGGAGAGTTTGCACCTATTCCTTACCTGTTAACCTTTCCTTTCCTGGGGGTGCTAATTGCAATCTGATCCTGTACAGTCCAGGCTCCACTGGTGCAGAGGAAAAGCAGGGGTCCTAGCTGCGTGAAAGACAGGGTTGGTGGTCTTTTTCCCCCCGGTCGTGCTCTGATATGGATGTACAGTGCGAACCGGTACAACTGGTCACACACAAATTGGGCAATACCCGTATCAGTTATTGTGGGCTCAGTGGTCACCCCAAAGATGTTCCCAATAATGTTGCCATTTAGAGAAAGGATCTTTTAGATGCGATTAAGATAAGGATTTTGAGAGGAGATCATCTTGAATTATCCAGGTGGGCCTTCAGTGCCATCCCAAGTGTCGTTAGAAGAGAGGGGAAGAGGGCGATGTCACATGCACAGAGAAGGCAGTGAAGCAGAAGAGAGATGTGGCCACAAGCAAAGAGTGCCAATAGCTGGAAAAGGCAAGGTGCACCTTCTCCAGAGCCCCTGCAGGGATCGTGCCCCTTGCCTACACTATGATTTCAGCCTTCCGGACCCCAGAACTGTGAGGGAATAGATTGGTGTTGTTTTCTGCCATCTAGCTTGCGATAACTTGTTACGGCAGCTGCAGGAGACTTACTTGTGCTTTGTACAACAAGACTGTTCCGCTGATCGCATGTTGGGCTGTGTGACCGTCTTATATGCTATAACAGCTTCTCAGCTTCTTTTAATTTCTGTGCTTATCTTCTCATGAACCAGCAGTGAAGAGTTCGGTGGGTGACTTGAGTACCAGTGGTCTAGTCTCTCACCCTTATTTTATGTATGAGGAGACTGAGGCCCAGAGAGGAGGTGGTAGGACTGAGCTTAGAGCACAGGTGACTCTTCTGGTCAGAGTGCAGAGACAGGGGGGCCAGGTCTGGAGACCCAGGTCTGGAGTGAGCGGACTGGAGCGCTGCCCTTTAGCCTGTCCTGCAGGTCAGCTGGTGTCCTAGGGCTGTTCTGTGACTTGCTGAGTGAAATCCCCTGGAGCACAGGGCTGCTTAGAAGGCCCAGAAGCCAGGGGAATCTTGTAAAGCCTTTGCTTCTGATAGCCAGCAGCAGGCAAGTCATCCTGTCAAGGGTGAAGGTCCTGGCTTGCTCTTGACTTCAGTCTCTGTGGTATGACCCAACCACAGAGCCTATGGGGAGCTAGAGCGGGAAGGCCCCTTAATTCAGGGCCTGCACAGTGCATGGTCAGCTCACATACACACACACACACCCTGTGTGTGTGTGTGTGTATGTGTGTGTGTGTCTTTCTCTGAATAAGGACCCACCGCTGCTTGCCTACATTTACACATCTTCATCCTCAAATGGGGGAGGGAGGCAGCATCCATCTCCAAGCTAATCAGTTTGGGGAGGGAAGCCATGGGCCTGCCTGCTTAGCCTGGACTGCGGGGAGTGTCCCAAAAAAAGGGGTCTGTGGAGGGGTAGTTCCCCAAAACCTATTACACCTCTTTTTCTGATTTCTCAATAGGAATAACTCAAGTTACCTTTACTGGAAGTCAGTTTGCTGGAAGTACTGAAACTGCAGTTCTTAAAGTTGAAGAAAAGGTAAATGGAAGTAAATTTGTACCTACTAAAATTCCCTTATCAGGGAAGCCAGTGTTTGGGGCAAGATTACTGTTCCCGGCATTCCTCAAACATGCCCAGTCCTGTGTGTGCTCTTTCCTCTCCTCTTGGCCTGGCCAGGTTCCTCTTGATCCCTGAAGGTCTTTACTTCCCTGGAAATCAAGCCTTTTATGTACGTATTTTTTAAAGATTTAATTTATTTAGACAGCGCGAGGGGTTGGGGGGCAGAGACCAGGTGAGAGAGCACTTTAGGTAGGCTCCCCGCTGAGTGTGGAGCCAGACCCGGGGCTTGGCTCCATCTCAGGACCACTGAGACTGCTGAGGCTTCTTGTCTCATGGACTCGAGAGATGAATCTCGTGGGCAAAATGGTGAAGTGAAGTGAAAGTTGATTAAGTGAAGATGAGAACAGAAAGGAAGGGAAAGGAGCTCTCTAAGAGTGACAGGGGTCCGGAGCGGGTGGCCACTGAGGGCTTTTATGGTGGGTCTTTTCTAGAAAATTGACCAGGGAACTTGGTAAATATTTTGTCTGTGACTTTTAAGACAAACAAAGGTGGATTTGTAAACATTAGGAAAACATCTCCTCTATATTGAGAACAAACAAGGCAGATTTGTTAATGTTCCCTTCTCTCTGGTTAGTATCTTGCCTATAACATTTCTCCACATCTGGGATTGCCTTGAGCCTGGTCACGTAGCCCCCCACCCGTCTCTCCCTACCTTGCCTCGCCCACCCCTCACTTAAGACCATGACCTGAGCGGAAATTAAGAGTTGGATGCTTCACTGACTGAGCCACCCAGACATCCTGGAAATCCAGCCTTTTTATTCCCTCCTGGCCGGTAGTGACTTTTCCTGCTTTGGAACCCCTGTCATACTATCTCCTTCTCACTGACTTGTATCGTAATGAGCTTGACATGACTGTTCGTGCCCCCCACCCCTGGCTGCTCTTCTGCCAATGCTCCTTCTCTGTGAGCCTTCCCCCACCACGCTCTTGGTATTTCCACACTTGATTGTAGTAGCCTGTTTGCACCTTGTCTGTTATAAGCTCCTTGAGGGCGTATCTGAATGTGCCTGGACATGTTCCATAAACATACATGTATTGGGTGAACAGGGTATCAGGCTTCCCCACTAGACAGTCAGCTGCTGGAGGGCCCACTTTGTCCTTCTACCACTATCGTTCTCAAATTGATTCTGTTTTTCGAGCATTCATCAGAAATTGCTGATCTCTAGATGTCCTTTGTTTTGGGGCTGTTGGTGGAACAGAGCAAATAGGAAGGCTTTTCTATCTGACTTTTATTTTTTGAGGGCAGTATGGGCCCATGTTAAGAGCAATAGCCCAGCAACTGAAAGGGAAGGGAGGTGACAGGCAAGTCAGAACAGCAGTGACTGGGAGCGTGGCCTCCCCCTGGCCGGTGTTGAATGGAGGTTGCCGGAGGTGGGGTTTTGGTCATGCTGTGACTGGGGGCCCTCCTGTCTGCTGGTCGGCAGACCCCCTCCCCCGTCCATCTGCACGATCTTCTGAGCCGTTCCAGTCAACAGACAGCGGCGTCTTCACCACCTCCCTGCTCCAAACCCTTTTGCTTTAAACGAATGAGTGCTCAGGTTCCTTTTCTCAAGCTGTGTACTGCACTGCTAAGTGTCTCAAAGAAGTTTCTTATTGATCTTCCCGGTTTTGTGGGTCCCCATCGACTGAGAGTCCTTGTCTTAACCCTTCCTACCTCCAGTAACCAGTAGTTGTCTCTTACCTTCGCATTACAGGGTGCTTCTGCACACCCCCAGCTTGCGCTCACCTGCCAGTCCCAGGAGATGGACAGTCGGGCTCAGAGCAGTTAGATGCTTTCCATGAGGTCATGGGACCAATGTGAATGGAGTTCGGCTTTTCTCCCTGCCGCACCGTTTTGGTCCTTCCCCTTGGAAACCACTGCTGCCGTCACAAAACCTGGGGCCCTGTCTCCTACCACCCGCTGTGTTCCCTCTGGAGAGAGGACCCTTGACCTTAACCTTCTGTTAAGAGATGCAGTTTGGGGACGCCTGGGTGGCTCCACCGGTTAAGCATCTGTCTTTGGCTCAGGTCGTGATCCCAGGGTCCTGGGATCGAGTCCGTTGTTAGGCTCCTTGCCCTGCAGGGAGCCTCCTCCTCCTTCTGTGCTCTTGTTGTGCTCTCCTGCTTGTGCTCTTACGCTCTCTCATGCTCTCTCTCTCTGTCAAATGAATAAATAAAACCTCTTCTAAAAAAAAGAAGGGGGATGCAGCCTGACCATGGTGTTACCCCCCCACCCCAGCTTTCTTGACAAAGTAGTTCTCTTCCTTCCAGGACCCTCCAGTCAATCCTCCAAGTTTTCTTTTTGTTAGGGCTTATTTAAATGCAGGAAATTTAATTAGTTTACATTAATACTGTGCTGTCTTACTCTATGAGTAAACTGAAAGACACTAATGGGGATTTAATCTAGCTGTTTCTAATGATGGTTTTTCTCTCCCTTCTCCTTTAAATAACTGCAAATGCTTCTATTAATCAGGGCCGCAGAGCACAGTGCTTTATTGCCATGTGGAATTGTGTAGTTAAATGTGATTTCTAAAAAATGGCTCACATTTTAATTAGAAAGCAGATTGTTAAATGGCATTTTGATTTGTCCTTTGATGGGGAATTGGAAGTAGACCCATCACGGTAGGAAACCAGGTTCTAGTCCAGAAGGAGGCATATTAACTTAAGAGCAGGGTGTGATTTCAGTGAGTCATTGTTTTCCTAAAATAGGCTGTCTTCTCTGGTCTTCTGGTGAGGGAGAGAGACCTTCCCCTGCATCTGGTGCCACCTTAGATTGGCATTTCCCCTGGAGACAGTCCTACTTGGAATTCCCCATCCAAGCTGGTGCTCCCAGTGGTCTGATCGTCAGGGCACAGGACTAGGTACCCAGGCCCTTCTGCTGGGACTCCTTAAAAACATCAATATCAAGAAATCAACAAACCTATGATGATACTTGTAACTGGAGGAAATGTTGGGCTCCATATTTCCCACTGTGCCATGATGCAAATATCATTTTATTGCTAAAATGACTGCCTTCCTGGCCCCAAAGCTGGTATCCGCATCACTATTGAGGGTCGTCATTGAAGCAGCCTGTGCATGGTCGGCTGAGTCTGTCCCCATAAGGTCCTTCTATGCTGCCCCCACCTTGAGGTGGCCCAGTGGCAGGACATCCAAGCACCCCAGGAGGAAGGTGGGAAGGATAACTGGTCAGAAGATGCAGGCATTTGTCATTCCACGTGACTTCTCTGTGCTTTATAGGACATTTTTTACCTATTATGGTAGCTAGCAAACTTGAATGTCTCGCAGGTGCTTCACAGTCACAGGGTCCAATTTTTATCTCTTGGTCTCTTTCTACCACAGTCCTTTTGCACACCTCCTTTCCCTCCATCTCATTAGGGTGTGCAGCTCTTAACTCACTTTTTCCAGCCAGAAACTGGGAATTCATCTCTTAAACACTCACCTTTGTCTTCCTCCAGATCCCCCGGTCCTTGCAATGCTCCTAAAGTAGATCTTGAATTCATCTGCTGCCCTCCCATATCCATCCCCCAAGTCCAGTGACACCAGTAGCTGCTGGGTTCCTGCAAAGGCTTTTGAACTGCTTGCCCTATTTCCACCACCCCCCTCCTCCCATTCTGCTCATCACTTTGGACTCAGGGTGACCTTTAAAACACTTGTCATGTCATTGCACTCCTCGCCCACACCTGTCCGTGACCTCTTTCTGTGCTTGGATGAATCAGCATGGCCCATGGAGAGGACTGCATGGCCTGGGCTCCAGACCTGGCTAGAGGTCTCACAGCACTCTTGACGTCATGTTCAAGTGGCTTGTGAAACACTTTAACCTTTCACTCTTGACTTCCTTGGCAGGCTGCAATGACTTTGATTTTCCAAGGACAGTAAAATCACTGTCAGCCTGGTAAAGGTGTACTTAGAATGGATGTCCTGTTCTGGAAAATGGTATTGGGGGGGGGGGTTGTTCTTCTAAACCCCAGAAATCAACTCATAGGACACAGAGGGGGACCACTATTTTGTGTGGAACTTTAATAAGCAATTAACCAATATGTAATCTGCTAAAATGTTAATACCCCTGCTGATCTCCAAGTAGCCTCCCTTCCAGATATTTCAGTGTAAGAACATGCATAGCCTTTAGCTCCAGAAATCATGACTGAAGCTTGGTTCCAGGTCAGTACAAGACAAGACTGATATTCTACAGGGAAAAAAAGAAACACACTAAATATTAGCGCACAACTTTCCTTTTTAAACCCATTTCTCCTACCCTGAAGCTCACTTGTGCTCCTCACCTGAACCTTGAGTTTTCCTCTTGTGTGTCTGTGGCACCACACACACAAACACTTGAGCAGGGAAATCTGGCTCAGCTGAGTGACACTCTCCGTTCTTTTTGGGCCTTCGGTTCAAGGTTCAAACGGTGCCAAAGGAGGAGTTTGCCAAGCAGGGGAGGAGTGACTAGGAGAAAAGAGGTGGAAAAGGGCATTTCAGATAGCTGCATGGACGGAGGCCTGGGAGGTCAGCAAGGGCGTGGCACACCCTGAGAGCTATGTGGGGTGGTTGCGGCGGCTGCAAGTGAAGGCGTGGGCTGGGGACTGACCGGTGGGCTTGGGGCCCGATCATGTCGTGGAGTGTCCCCATGGGATTCTATGCGGAGGGTTCCTGGGTCAGATTTGTTTTTTGCAGCAGGGATTCTGCAGGCTTGGCCTCTTTTCAAGACTTCTTAATGGCATTGACCCAATTCAGACACACAGGGCCTCTCATTAGGTTTCGTGGGCACGGGACTCAAAACGCCAGACTTCCAAGTTTAAGGTACATCCATAGGCTGTCTACCAAGAATCCCAGAGACATTTTAGAAGTCACTGAACTGCAGTTGGTGTTAAATTACTACCCTGCTGGAGTTTATGAATGACTCCATTCCTGTTCCATTGGGGTTTGGCTGCCTTGCCATGCTTGGAAGT